CTGCATACCTGTTAAAATTCTGAATTTTTCTCAGGAGGACGTGTGGTTGTCACCCAGGACACGGCTGGGCACCCTGTCAAAGGTGGAGTGCGTGGACATCTCGCAGCAGTATGAAGTAAAATTTCAAAGGATTTCGGCTGACCTTGAACAGGTGACTTTAAATATGAAGGATTAGTAAAGCAGAGACCGTGTGCAGGAAATCTTGGATAAGATTGATGTAAGGGGAAGCGAGTACGAGCAAGCTCAGCTCAAGTCATTATTGACAAAGTACACTGATATTTGCCCTAGAGGATGAAGACCTAGGTTACACAGACAAGATCACACGTGAAATTCACTTAACTGATGACGAGCCTGTCACACAGCCCTACTGTCGGATCCCTCCTAATCAGTATAGAGAAGTAAAGGATCACATCTCATGGCTAGTACGGAAAGGAGTCATACAAGAGAGTAACAGTGCCTATGCTTCGCCAATCGTGCTAGTACGTAAAGCAGATGGCAGTATCAGGCTATGTGTAGTGTACAGGAAACAGGTCAAATGACCAAAATCTTACTTTAATAATCTTAATTTAATGTTCATTTAAAATATACAGCTCAAGTCATTATTGACAAAGTACACTGATATTTGCCCTAGAGGATGAAGACCTAGGTTACACAGACAAGATCACACGTGAAATTCACTTAACTGAGGACGAGCCTGTCACACAGCCCTACTGTCGGATCCCTCCTAATCAGTATAGAGAAGTAAAGGATCACATCTCATGGCTAGTACGGAAAGGAGTCATACAAGAGAGTAACAGTGCCTATGCTTCGCCAATCGTGCTAGTACGTAAAGCAGATGGCAGTATCAGGCTATGTGTAGATTACAGTAAACTAAATCAGAAAACAATAAAAGACACCTTTCCCTTACCGCATATCGACGAGAGCTTTGATGCTCTGCGAGGGGCACGCTACTTCTCGACAATTGATTTAGTAAGCGGCTATCATCAGGTGGCCATGGCGGAAGGAGACAAGAATTCTTGCGGATGCCATTTGGGGTCTCCATTGGACCCGCAACCATCCAAGGCTGATGCAGGCCACCATGAACGATCTTGTTTTCTAGATTTTGTTAGTGTACCTAGATGATATCCTGGTGTATTCTTCAACATTCCAGGAGCACTTGGTAAGGCTGGAAACTGTAGTGAGGAGGCTGCAGGACACTGGTCTCAAGGTCAAGTTATACAAATGTCATTTTCTTCAGTCAGAGGTTGTGTTCTTGGGACATCGAATTTCCGACTATGGTAATGGGACAAACCCTCAGAAAGTCGCAGTTAAAACTATTCAAAGCCCTTTATTGTGGAGACAGATGTGAGCAGTCAGGGTCTGGGCGCCATTTTATATCAGCAACAGGGAGATCTAAAACGTGTTATTGCCTTTGCAAGTAGATGGCTGAAGGATTCAGAAAAAATGATAGAAATTATAGCAGCATGAAACTCAAGCTCCTTGCTCTCAAGTGGGCAATTGTTGAAAAGTTTCATGGGTATTTGTTGGGTTCCAAATTTACTGTGATAACCGACAATAATCCTCTGGGCCACTTGAAAACGGCAAAGTTTGGAGCGATTGAACAAAGATGGATTTCACTGCTGTCCGTCTTTGATTTTGATGTCCAGTATCGTCCTGGTATCAAAACACAGTAGCTGACAGACTATCTAGACAACCGTTTGCAGGGGAGCCTGAGCCAGCCTCAGAGGATGCAGAGTATGATGGGTCTGTGGCAGTCTGCGGTTTGATTCACTGTGGTATAGAGCTGGACCCGGCACTTGTGGCTGCTGGGATGAACAGCTGTAAAGTGAGGTAAATGCGAGCTGTAGTGTCCAACTCTAATAATGGTAATGGCCTAGGTATGGGAAATATGCCCACTTTTCCAGGTTACTCATCTGATGAATTAATTGGCTTCCAACAGCAAGACTTGGTGATTAGCGGATTCAGAAAATTTTGGGATCAAAAGAGAAGGCCCCATGGGAAGGAGCTAAAAGTTCTGCCAAAACCTTTTCGGAAGCACTGGAACAGCATCAGGGAGCGCCAGGAATTACTGTACAGTGTCTTTGAGGATGTCAGACATGTTATCAGCTCTTGTTACCTCTCAGTTTAAAGAAGCCTGTTCTGGAGTATGTGCACAATTCTATTGGACACCAAGGTATCGAGCGAATGCTAACCATCTATGCTCTAGTCTAGTGAATACTAACCAGCCATTTAAATGCAAAGCAGCAAGTTCATTTGTATTTGCTAAGTCATATGTTAATCGCCTATATAGAAACATATGCAGTCTCAAGGCTATGATTTCACTGAAATGCCCTGCATGTTATAATATAATTTCTAATTAAGTTTCTAATTATTTAGTTGACAAACCACTGTGCACAGAAACATTAATTTATATGAAACAACTGTAAAGCTGTAAAACATCTTAACAAGCTTAAAGCATAGTTCTCCCCAAAATAAAAGTTCTGTCATTATTACTCTCATGTTGTTTCAAACCTGTATGACTTGGCCTGTTTCTGTCCACATAATAAATGTCAATGGAGTCCAATGTTGTTTGTAAAATATCTTCTTTTGAGTTCCACAGAATGAAGAAAGTCATACAGATTTGCAGGGAAATTATGACAGAATTGTAATTTTACAGTACATGTTTTATGTGAAATTCGTTATATATACAAAATACCCATTCTGTAAAGACAATTAAAATTTTTTTAAAAGCAGATAAGGGTACACTATGGATTTTTGTCTCCATCTGAGGTTAAAACATAAACTTGCAAGTTTCTCAGAATTCAGAGGAAAAGTTTTTCATGTGTAACATTTAGTACCAGGCACCCTCGGAAAGGTATCGGGTCTTTAGTGTATCAGTTTTGGTTAAGCAATGCTCTTCTGCATGGGTGAATCTGATGCTTTCCGTAATGTACCTTTTTAAATCATGTAATATATTTTGCATTATACACACTTTCAATGCAGTGGCTACACAATAATATAGTGTGACATCAATAAAACAGTCTCTGTGACATATTTACATATTTAAAGGGGTCATATGATGCGATTTCAATTTTTCCTTTCTCTTTGGAGTGTTACAAGCTCTTGGTGCATAAAGAAGATCTGTAAAGTTGCAAAGACTAAAGTCTCAAATCCAAAGAGATATTCTTTATAAAAGTTAAGAGTCAACCACGCCTACCTAAAATGGCTCGTTCTAACACGCCCCCACATGTCTACATCACGATGTGGGAAGATTTGCATAACGCCGCCCAAATGTTCATGCAAAGAAAGAAGGCGTGACTTTTATTCTCGCTGTAGTATTGTTGTTGCCGCCGCCGTCATGTCGTGAAGGCGCTGTGTGTTTCGTTGTGAAAGCGAAACTACTTTGTTTGGCCTTCCAAAAGAGGACGAAATCCGTTTCATCATGCCTGGAGCTGATCCATGCCGGTCGCTGAGGAAATACATCAACTTCGCGCTGTGGATCGCCGGATCGGCTTTCACCGTGGACGAAGCGGAGTCCGGGGTCGTCACATGTGGTTGCCGCAAGCCCGCCGGATGCTCTTTCGTCGAATCCGCCGGCCGCGCCGTTCTCAAGCCCGCCCGCCTCCGCTCACTCTAGGCCTCCGGCCTCCGCTCACTCTAGCCCGCTGTGTGTTTCGTTGTGAAAGCGAAACTACTTTGTTTGGCCTTCCAAAAGAGGACACGACTAGAAATCAGTGGTTAAGTTGTATTTACAACACTGTTCCAGAACAGTACAACCCAAATATTCAGATGTGTCCAGCGCATTTTATGGAGGACTGTTTCCTGATCCTGGTAGAGTAGACTGTAAGTATGTTTTTTACATTTAAAGAATTTGCCACTGACGATTCAAACGAATCACAACGCATTGGATAGCTGGCCAATCACAGCTCACCTCGCTTTTTCAGACCGATGAGCTTTGTAAAAATAGACGCGTTTCAGAAAGGCGGGGCATAGAGGAGAAACAATAATGTACAGTATGTGGAAAATAATGTGTTTTTTCAACCTTAAACCGCATAAACACATTTCATTACACCAAATACACAAAATAATGTTCTTTTTAGCAACATCATATGACCTCTTTAACATGTTTCTAACCAAATATGTACAAAAGTTATAGGAAAAACAACAGCATTATGTTATGAATACAAACAATGATGACTTCACTAGGAAAGTGACAATTTGATGTGCTGAGAAATTAACCCTTACTGTGATATTCGCATTGTGGTAAGAACACTCGTCTCTAATAAATAATTGTAATAACATTTCCTTTGGGTGAGTTGCCATCTTATGCATGATAAAAAATTTTTTTTTTTTTTTTTTTCAGATTTATTTGTGACTGCCTTTTTCTTTTCAGACAAATACAACTGGCATTCCATGGTATATGCAAGATGACATTTTTTTGTTGAAACTTGTAAGAATACAATAGGTCAACTATAAGGCAACAAAATGCTGCTTCTTTATAATTTTATCATGTGAGGAAATTGTAATTACTCTACTTAATTTGTATCAAATCATAACAAAACCATATATTGGATTATATACGTAAAGTGAAGAAATTGGTTATAAAACATACATAGAATTTTCCTTACGTTAATTATTTTTTTACACACACACAGTGAAACAATAATAACATAATGTTTTTCTTGTAAAAATCAAAAAATATTTTGTCTTTGCATCACTGATGTGTTGATCTTTTGATTAGTTCAGAATGTAAAGCACTATAAATAAATAAATAAACAAACATAAAATAAAAAATAAACAATAAAACTACAATAATATTAACATTCATATAAAACACTAAATGTCTCTTAATCAAAAGACCACAGCTAGTCTCACCAGTGACACCACAACACAAAACAATAATATAAAGTGTCAATATATTTAAACTCTGTATTATGGTTACTTAAAGTGCATAAAGGCAGAAACCAGATTAATGGTGAGTCACATCAGCATGTATCTTCTCATTGAGCATGTGTTTTAACGGCCATGATGAATCTTTAAATATAATAATTTAAATACTTGTTTATACCATAATTTCTAGTTCTCTGTTTTTCTATAAATACATACATCTGTTTTCAATTAAAGCTGCAATTCTGATTAAAAATCGACACAGAAACCAACTGACGGTTTGAATGAAATTACTCTACAAAAATATTTTCTAAGACTTTTAAGAAAAAGGCAGAGGTACCACTAGCTACACATCAGTGTGGTAGAATACAAATAACAGAAAATGATACCATCAACTGATGTATTAAACTCAGAATCACTGCATTAGTACTGAAGGCTCTCTAAGACAAGGAAATAACGTTTATCCTCTGTCCAAACACAACATGATCTCTGGTGCCAAAGTCATTCCAGTACAGCATCTTTAAGAACTAGCTAGAGTTCTCTCCTTCTCAGATTTCACTAATGTGTATTTGCAATCTCAACATGGTGATGAGGACATCTGATCATAGTCAGGACACTTGAGAAGGGCAGGGTAGTTTGAATTCATCTGGAGGGATGCTTCACTGGAGATGTCTGAGGGGCTGCGTCCACGAGCCCAGGCATCTGGATGCAGGAACTGGCCAGAATAGTCAGAACAGTTACTGAGGCGAGGTCGGTAGAAACCCGGGTGTGGCCTGTACATCTCCTCTGCAGTGTACCGTTTCATAAACAGGTAGACAGACATTACACCTGCTGCCTGGTGGTTGCACAAACAGAGGGAGACTGAAGAGCATGTGAAATTAATGAATACAACAATTGTTACAATATAAATGAATTCATATTATTCTAAATGAGAGAATGTTCTAATGGTTGATAATTTGCATGAAACACCCAAAAATGTTCTAATTCTAGGGCTTTCCGCACCTCAGCACATGTGCAGAGAAAGTTGAAGCAAGAGAATGAAAACAAACAAACAAACAAACAAGCATGAGGTGCGCTAACGAAGGCCATTAATGTGATTTCACTAGAACAGTTGCAGAGGCTAAAAAAGTTGTTTATCTGATGCAGGACTGATGCATAGAGTAAAGGCCCGTTCACACCAAGGACGATAACTATAAAGATAACGATACAGATATAGTTCTAAAAATCATTCTCAATATTAAAGAATAGCAGAGTCCACACCACAAGTATAACGATAAAGACAAAGAAAAACGATATCGTTGGAATCACTTTCAAAACTATTTTTCTCCAGTTGATGAACGATAAAAAAACTGACAGCCAATCAGAATCCATTCTGCTGTAACGAGCTCAAGAATTGAAAGCGGCAGACGCGCGTGCGCTTAGAATAAACAGACGATATCGTTCGCTGGTGTGGACGCTAATATCGTTATCTTTATAGTTATCGTTCTTGGTGTGAACAGGGCTTAAGACCTAATAAAGGAGCAATCACAACATGGTAATACTTTTATTAAAGTGAATTTTTAAGTAATCCAAAACATAATTGCAATGAAGTCCAGCCGTCTACTTCCCAAGCATCCATGCACCTTCTAAAATGTATTTATATGTTTTGACCCATGATGTCTACTCCCATCATCTGATGGGGTTAGGTGGTTGTAATTGTCTGCATCCTCCCAGTAGGTTTCCATTGGCCAGATTTAAAAGTTTTGCCATTTTAGACAATTTCATGAAGTGCTTAATGTTAGACCACATCCAGGCCAGAATGCTACATCCTGAATTCTCTTAAAGGTTTTGTAAATCTATGCATGACCACTCAGTGTTGCAGTATAGAAGGAACAAGACCTTTGGGAATGAAGAAATGGTTGTGATTCTCTGACAGGTGAGTTTTGAAGTAAAACTTGTCTTCAATTACTTCACACTTTTTCCTCTGTCCCGCACAGTTCTTGGCCAGAGTCTGGAATGTTTTCACTCCTTCTGGGTTGTGTTGTTGTTCTTCCAAAAATCAGTTCAGCAGAAACTGTAAGGGTGTTGACATCCTTTTGGGTTGTATACAAATTACAACTCATATGAGGTTTAATCTGTGAAAGAGCATGAGGTGCTGCATTTAACTTTCCCTTTCAGTACTTAACATGAAGCTATTGCAGGGCACATCGAGTGTGATTGCTGGTAGTTTTGAGAGAATTCATCACCCACTGCAGTTATCTGCAACATGTTCTAGGTAATGTTGCCACTTATCTGATGTTCACACCATGGCTAAACATTCCTTCCTATTTCAGCGTAGTATGAGATTAATTAAGATTGTAATTGCATAAGCTATTATCTCCTCAGTGCCTTTTCTTCTCTCCTGGGTCTACACTGGCCCATCTGGCATTTGTATACACAATGAAGGAATGTTGGGATGTGGATGGGTGGAATCATTAAGCACAATTTAAATGGCTTAAATGCCTGTTGGCATTGGGACATCCACTAAAAAGCTTTGCCCTATCAGTGAATCTAGAAAAACAAGGAACAAACTGGTGGTATTGCCCAGCTAGTCCAAGGAAATGCTGGACTTCCTTGTGATTTTTTTCGGCACAGGGTATGACAAAATGGCTTCCACTTTACTGGAAACAGCTGAAATACTTTTATCACTGGTGACGTGTCTCAGGAATGTTACTTATTGAAGGCAGAATTTACTTTCCCAGAGTTTAATTGTTAAGCCAGCATCTTATGAAAAACAGCTTGGAGATCAGGGAAGTGCTGAGTAAAGGACAGTGAACAGATCATAATATAATCGATATACTCAAAGCAGTTCCTCCCATGTAATTCTCCCAAGGCTGTCTCAGTTAGCCAGGGGTATGCAATCCTGCTCCTGGAGGGCCAATGTCCTGCAGACTTTAGCTCCAACTTGCCCAAAACAAACGTGCTTGGATGTTTCTAGTAATCCTTAAGACCTTGATTAGCTGGTTCAGGTGTGTTTAATTTAAGATTTAAGTTAAACTGTGCAGGATAGTGGCCCTCCAGGAGCAGGATCGGTCACCCCTGACATATGTTGTTGAAAGGTGGCTGGGGCATTTTTAATCCCAAAGGGCATTCCATAAAACAAAAAGAAGCACAACAGAACACACAAATCGGATCTGAACAGTTACGATACACAGTATGGACAGTCAACCATTTAGATCAGGTTTCAATCAGGTACACAAATAATAAAATTTTGTCTGACAGTGTAACCATAGTGATACTATGTTTGGAGTGCAGTTCTGGGTTAGGTTTTTCATTTTGCAGATGATGTTTTTTAAGAAAAAAAAGTGATATTTAATTACATTTTTATTTTATTGTATTGTATTTTTGAATTAACTTCAATATGCTTTTTAATCAACTTCAATATGATCTTTACTGGGAACACAAAAGGCACCGAATACCAGGAATGGTCTGGGTAGTAAGGTGTCCAATCTTCCCTGCAGCTGTTGGGCAACTGGAGAAATATAGGGGCAGTCGTGCCCTAATTGATAGAGAGTCTTCCACCCTCAATGACACAACTGAGGTGAGACCCTTGAGCAAGGCACCGCACCCCCAACTGCTCCCCGGGCGCCGCAGCAATATTCACTGCTGTGTGTGTGCACTTGGATGGGTTAAATGCAGAGCTCAAATTCCGAGTATGGGTCACCATACTTGGCTACACGTCACTTCACTTTCACTTTCAGATACTGGAGAAACAATAGTGCATGATTGCACATGGTCCTGATTCCATATAAGGTCTTGAGCAGAAATGCTGTGGGGAATGTCTGCCAAACTGGGTTGAGTGGGTTAAGGCATACAAAACTGACTAGAGCTTCAATATCCCAAAAAAACTGTGTAAAGCAGTGGTTCCCAATCCTCGTCCTGGAGAACCCCTAATCAAACACACCTGATTCAACTCATCAGATCATTAGTAAAGACTTCAAGACCTCAAATGTGTGTCAGATAATAGAGACATCAAAAATATGTGTGGCTTTAGTTGGTTCTTGAACTTAATTTAGAATAAATTTTAGTCCAGACAAATTAAAGAATGTAAATTAAGAATGATAAAATATGTGCTCACAGATTTTCACACAGTTAGTGAATGAGACCCACTGTCTTTAATATTTACACAAATATACAAAGATAATTGGAAGTGTTACCTCAGTAAGCAGGAAGGAGACTGCAGCAAAAGCAAAAGACCATCCATATTTGTAACTGAAATAAGCTTCATTCGTTTTTGTTCTGTTTAGCATCTCATCATTAATACTGGATATATACAAGACCAGACCCACCACCAGGGACAGACCTGTATCAGAAATAAAGAGAAAATGAGCCAAAGAAAAATAAAAGGGAGAGAGCTGTAGTGACACAAATTGATATGAAAAAGTCGGAGAACTGTCCATTTAAGAGCTGAAAACAGTATTTCTTGTGGAGACTTAGTCTTCCAAACATGAACAGTTTTACTATTATTATTAGTAGTAGTTTTTATGAGTTATTTCTTAATTTTTATCCATTCAATCATTATAGTAAAATTCTAGTACTCTGAATCTTATTATAAAGAGTGGCCTAATGGTTAGAGAGTTGGACTTGTAACCCAAAGGTCACGGGTTCGAGTCTCGGGTCCGGCAGGGATTGTAGGTGGGGGGAGTGAATATCCACCCTCAATACCACGACTGAGGTGAGACCCTTGAGCAGGCACCGCTCCCTCAACTTCTCCCCGGGCGCCGCAGCAATATTCACTGCTGTGTGTGTGCACTTGGATGGGTTAAATGCAGAGCTCAAATTCCGAGTATGGGTCACCATACTTGGCTACACGTCACTTCACTTTCACTTTCAGATACTGGAGAAACAATAGTGCATGATTGCACATGGTCCTGATTCCATATAAGGTCTTGAGCAGAAATGCTGTGGGGAATGTCTGCCAAACTGGGTTGAGTGGGTTAAGGCATACAAAACTGACTAGAGCTTCAATATCCCAAAAAAACTGTGTAAAGCAGTGGTTCCCAATCCTCGTCCTGGAGAACCCCTAATCAAACACACCTGATTCAACTCATCAGATCATTAGTAAAGACTTCAAGACCTCAAATGTGTGTCAGATAATAGAGACATCAAAAATATGTGTGGCTTTAGTTGGTTCTTGAACTTAATTTAGAATAAATTTTAGTCCAGACAAATTAAAGAATGTAAATTAAGAATGATAAAATATGTGCTCACAGATTTTCACACAGTTAGTGAATGAGACCCACTGTCTTTAATATTTACACAAATATACAAAGATAATTGGAAGTGTTACCTCAGTAAGCAGGAAGGAGACTGCAGCAAAAGCAAAAGACCATCCATATTTGTAACTGAAATAAGCTTCATTCGTTTTTGTTCTGTTTAGCATCTCATCATTAATACTGGATATATACAAGACCAGACCCACCACCAGGGACAGACCTGTATCAGAAATAAAGAGAAAATGAGCCAAAGAAAAATAAAAGGGAGAGAGCTGTAGTGACACAAATTGATATGAAAAAGTCGGAGAACTGTCCATTTAAGAGCTGAAAACAGTATTTCTTGTGGAGACTTAGTCTTCCAAACATGAACAGTTTTACTATTATTATTAGTAGTAGTTTTTATGAGTTATTTCTTAATTTTTATCCATTCAATCATTATAGTAAAATTCTAGTACTCTGAATCTTATTATAAAGAAGCATACTTTTGTCCAGCAACATGACATGATTCATTCTTACTGGCTATATATATATATATATATATATATGTAGCACCCTTACAACCACTCTGTATGTTATTGATCTCCCTTTAATCATGTAAAATAAATTAGTATTTACTTATTTGAAAATCAGTTGTCACTTATTTATTGAAAGTAAATAAACGTTTACATTTTCATAATCATGTAATTGGGTTTTTGAGAATAAGAGGGATCAATCATAACCCACCCAGTTTCCCTTACCCTATAATACCCGAGTTTACCACTGGGCTACATATATATATATATATATATACGGAACACTGTTTAAACAAACACCCACCTGACAGGATAAAGAAGATTCCAGAGATGAAGGCCAGAATAGTGCGTTGAGGGCGGATGTGTCCAATATTACTCAGCACAAAGCCAATGAACATGAAGAATAGACTGACCAGCGGGAAAGGAGTAGCAGAGCGAATCATTTCTGTGAACAAACCAAAATAAATAATTACTGATGATGGATACCTGATACTTCTACAACCTCTCAGATAAAAATACAAACAGCAAATAAAAATGAAATAAAATATTATTATTATCTGTAATGTCCTCTAATTCCCTCTTGTGGACCCTAAAGAGCACATACAGAACAAAATCATGGTGTAAATGTGAGGCTTGGTGTTGATGTGAGGGTCATGTGAGGGTTTAAATGCCACTGATTAATTGAGACAAACAAGAGGTATTATTGGATATCAATTCCTGGTACTCAGACAAACTGAAAATCATTCAACCATTTAGAGACCTCTGACACAATGACAGTGACATACATATGCAAATCAAGAACCACAATATATAATACACTGCAAAATGGTTACAAACAAACAAACAAAAAAAATAAATAAATGCATATTTCATTACAGGTAAAATAAAAATTTTCTAATTAATTCAAACAGGATTGTTTTCGCTTATACCAGGTTTATATGTTGCTGATGACTCTATCTTTCTTATGAAAATTAAATTATTCACGTTATATGTTTCACAACAACATTTTGTCTTGTTTTACTTTCATATTTCATATGAAATATCAATTTTACAAATTCTTTTTGCAAATACTGTAATAAGTGACATTTTTGTATGAACAATAAGTCCTACAACAGAAGGCATGGTCCAAAAGGAAATCTGATTTCACCATCAAGTCAGTCTGGGATTACATAAAGAGACAGAAGCAACTGAAACAGCCTAAATACATGTTTGTAACCTCTTCAAAAATGTTTAAACAACATACCCACAGACTACAGCACTCTTTTAGGTTTTAAGAATTGTGTAAAAAATAAATGCTTTAAAGTGAGGATGTTGTCAAAAAGTTATTTATCGGGATAACTTCGGTCATATGTTTCACAACAACATTTTGTCTTGTTTTACTTTCATATTTCATATGAAATATCAATTTTACAAATTCTTTTTGCAAATACTGTAATAAGTGACATTTTTGTATGAACAATAAGTCCTACAACAGAAGGCATGGTCCAAAAGGAAATCTGATTTCACCATCAAGTCAGTCTGGGATTACATAAAGAGACAGAAGCAACTGAAACAGCCTAAATACATAGAAGGATGTTTGTAACCTCTTCAAAACTGTTTAAACAACATACCCACAGACTACAGCACTCTTTTAGGTTTTAAGAATTGTGTAAAAAATAAATGCTTTAAAGTGAGGATGTTGTCAAAAAGTTATTTATCGGGATGGGCAACTTCGGTCCTGGAGGCCCACTGTCCTGCAGAGTTTAGCTTCAACCCTAATCAAACACACCTGCCTGTAGCTTTCTAGTGATCTTGAAGACATTGAATAGCTTGCTCTTTTGTGTTTGATTAGGGTTGGAGCTAAACTCCGTAGAACAATGGTCCTCCAGGACGGAAGTTGCCTGACCTAACTAAATCAAATCAAATTAATATTGTAACCACTCATTGCCCTTTAAACACTTGTGCTTAGTTGTTAAGGTAGTTTGTTTTTGAGGGTGTTCTAAGTTTTTTTTTTATAGTAGCATATTTAGAGCAGTAAGAGAAATTCCAATCTTGTAGAATCAATTATTCTTAGTCCTGTAGCGATCAGTGACTAAACAACATTCAGAAAGATAAATTTTTATATCAAAAGAGCCATTTTATATCAAATTTACTAAAGGAGACTTTTACTCACTCAGAACGCTGGCCGTAGACTCTGACGTCATCTGAACATTCATAGGCATCACATACTCTATAGTGAAGCAGCGCCCCTTCTCCTCTCCTTGAAAAAAGAAATAAATAAAGATAAAAACTTGAACAATGCCACCATGACATCATAAAATGATTATACAATTATCATACTCTTTTTAAATACATTATTAGTACTACTACTACTACTACCACTGCTGCTATTAAGTAGAAGAAGAAGAAGAATGAGTACGGCTTCTGTCTGAGATTGTACTTAACAGTGTTGTGAGATTTGCCATAGATTACCTGACAATGGACATTTTTTTTTATGTTTTAGACAAACTAGACACATATTTACACACAACTAGATAAAGGTTTTTAATCCACTGGACAAGTTTTTTAAACCAGTGGACCACAATCAGTATGTCAGCTAAATTGCTGAGTGGTGCAAAGGTTTGTAGGTCAAACGTTTTGCTTTGTAGTGTTTTTAGCAACAAGGCCACTCAATAACGCATACTACTCGTACAGAACCATTTGGACCTATATGGATGTGACCCCAGTGCAAAATGCTGTTATATAATCCATTAAGAATAACTCTGACAATGTCTGCAAACAGTGTCTGTTTTGTGAGATCGAATGAACTGCATTTAAGAATGACAAACAGAATATTCACTGTGCCTGCAATAATAATTATATCAAGTTAATTAAATATGCTACTGTTCAAAAGTTTGGGGTCTGTAAATTTTTTCTAAATACTTTTGAAAGAAGTCTCTAATGCTCACCAAGGCTGAATTTATTTTAACAAAAGAATAATAATAAAAATAATACAGTAAAAACAGTACTATTGTGAAATATTAAAAAATATATATATAAATTAGATGTTTTGTATTTTAATATATTTTACAATTTAAATGGAAAAGCTGAATTTTTAGTGGTCATCACTCCAGTATTCCGCGTCACATGATCCTTCAAAAATCATTATAATATGCTGAGTTGGTGTTCAAGAAATATCATTATTATCAGTGTTGAAAACATTTGTGCTGCTGAATTTTTTGTGGAAACCATGGTACATTTTTTTCAGGATTCTTTAATTAATAGAAAGTTCAAAACATCAATCAAGCACTTATTTATAGAAATATTCTGTAACATTTTAAATGTCTTTAAACATTTTTTATGTCACATGTCACTTTTGATTAATTTAATGTGTCCTTACTGAATAAAAGTATTCATTTCTTTTAAAAACAAAAGCTAAAAAAAAAGAGAGAAAAAAAGAGAGGCGAGAAAAGAAAAGATACCTGATTTACCAGTTGGTAACACTGTCGCTGGAGCTGGTGACTCTAAAAGGAAGAGGAACCGAAATCAATTGTTGCCTGTATATCTAAATGCCAATTTGCTATTTGTGAGGTAATGGCAGTACAGAGTGAAACAGGAAGAGGTACAGGATCTGCCATGTAAGACTGTACAGCCTTGAAAGACTGGTTAGTGGAAAATACTGGAATCCAGACCAGGGTTTACAGGATATAGTAGAGAAGAATCTTTGTTTCAAAATCAGGATTTAAAGGTTCATCAGCAACTTTATCACCCCAAATATCATAGCACTTTGTCACTCTGAGCCATTCTCGCTTAAGCTCAACCTTAGAAATGCCATCTTTGCCATCGAACCCACAGGATTCTCCGTGCACCTAGCGGACAGAATACGGGACCTCTCAGGGAAAAGCAAAGTACGGGGTGTGTGCTTTATGATCAACAACTCATGGTGTGATCAGAAGAATGTACATCCTATCTAGTCTCTTTGCTCCCTCCACCTGTAATACCTCACACTTCTGTGCCGACCTTTTTGGCTACCGAGGAAATTCACAGTGGTCATTATTACGGCTGTCTACATCCCCCCTCAGGCTGACACAGATGAAGCACTCAGGGAACTGTATGGGCAATTATGCAAACAGGAATCTGTGCACCCTGAGGTTGCGATTATTGTAACCGGGGACTTCAACAAAGCCGACCTCAGAAAGATTGCACCAAAATATAACACATAACATGCAACACAAGGGGAGATTGTGTTTTGCACCATTGTTACTCTCCTTTCCGGAATGCTTACAAATCCCTAAATCCCTGAACATCCGTAAAGCAATGGGTCCAGACGGCATTCCTGGCCGCGTCCTTAAAACATGCACAAACCAACTAGCAGGAGTTTTAACAGACATTTTTAACCTCTCCCTTTCCTTGTCTGTTGTCCCCAAATATTTCAAAACATCCACTATTGTGCCCATAAAAAAGACACCCAAAGTTACCAGCTTGAATGATTGGCGCCCTGTTGCTCTGACCACTATCATCAGTAAGTGCTTTGAGAAGCTCATCAGAGATCACATCTGCTCTGTTTTATCTGACATCGCTCGACCCGCTGCAGTTTGCCTACCGCAATAACCGCTCCACTGATGACGCAATTGCCTTCACCCTGCACACTGCACTTTCCCATCTGGACAAGAGGAACACATATGTGAGAATGTTGTTTGTTGACTACAGCTCAGCTTTTAATACCATAGTGCCCCCTAAGCTTGTAGTGAAACTCCAGGCCCTGGGTCTGAACAGTTCACTGTGCAGTTGTATCCTGGACTTCCTGACAGGCAGACAGCAGGTGGTCAGAGTTGGCAGCAACATCTCCTCCCCACTGACCCCCAACAACGGCACCCCACAGTCCTCTCCTGTACTCCATGTACACACATGACTGTGTAGTCACATACAGCTCCAATGTCCATCAAATTCGCAGATACCACAATGGTGGTAGGCCTGATCACCGACAACGACAAGTCAGCTTACAGAGAAAATGTGCGCACTGTGACAAACTGGTGACATGATAACAACCTCTCTCTCTGAACATCAGTAAGTCCAAGGAGTTAGTGGTGGACTTCAGGAAACAGAACAGTGAGCACTCCCCCATCATCATTGATGGGACGCTAGTGGAGTGAGTCAGCTTCAAGTTCCTTGGTGTTCACATCACCAAGGACCTCACCTTGTCTGTTCATGCGGAATCAGTGGTGAAGAAGGCCCATCATCAGCATCTCCTCTTCCTCAGGTGACTGAAGAATTTTGGTATGTGTCCAAAAATTCTCAAACAATTCTACAGCTATACTGCGGAGAACATCCTGACTGGCTGCATCACTGCCTGGTATGGGAACTGCACTACTCTCAACCACAAAGCCCTGCAGAGAATGGTTTGGATGGCCCAGCACATCGTCAGAGGTGAGCTTCCCTCCCTCCAGGACATCTACCCCCAGTGATGTGTGAGGAAAGCACGAAAGATCATCAGAGACTCCTTCCACCCAAGCAATGAACTGCTCTCGCTGCTACTATCAGGCAGACGGTACCGCAGTATCAGGACCCGCACCAGCAGACTGCGGGACAGCTTCTTCTCACAGGCCATCAGACTGCATCAGACATCACACCTCACCTAACCTTGCACTGCACCTTATTAACAGATTAGTTACACTGACTCTAAGTGGCAGCACTATAGCATGTCTTTGTACTCCTCAGCACATACACATACTCAATGCAGACTACATCATCTCTCTTCTGCACTCTGACAAGCTATTTGCACTAAACATTCGAGCACATCTACTACGCTCTATAATAACACCAACATTATACTTCACTGTGTTATTACTGTGAATAATACTGAAAGTTACTGTGACTACTGTGATTATTGCAATTGCATTTGGTTTTAACATATATGTGACGAGTAGGGCGGGGCCGAGAGCCGTGGGAACGGAGCGAGGCCGGTGGAGTTAATGATAATGAGCGACACTTGCGCCACTCACCGGTCTCGAGTCCCATGGAGGAGCTCCGGAAGGATAAAAGGAGGAGCAACGACAGGGAAGGACGAGAGAGGACTAGTCCTGGACTATTTATGTTGTTTTGGTTCTGTTTGTGCGCGGCAGTCGTCCGTGAGGGGCTGTTGTGCTATTTTCAGTTTTGTGTTGTTCATTTGTTTATTAAGGTTTTATGGTTAAATGTTCGCCAGTTCCTGCCTCCTTCTTCCTGATCTCTGACTTTGTTACAATATGTAAACTTCCTGTGCATACAGTCTATAACTAAATTGTCGTGGAGTTAATGATAATGAGCGACACTTGCGCCACTCACCGGTCTCGAGTCCCATGGAGGAGCTCCGGAAGGATAAAAGGAGGAGCAACGACAGGGAAGGACGAGAGAGGACTAGTCCTGGACTATTTATGTTGTTTTGGTTCTGTTTGTGCGCGGCAGTCGTCCGTGAGGGGCTGTTGCGCAATTTTCAGTTTTGTGTTGTTCATTTGTTTATTAAAGTTTTATGGTTAAATGTTTGCCAGTTCCTGCCTCCTTCTTCCTGATCTCTGACTTTGTTACAATATGTAAACTTCCTGTGTATACAGTCTATAACAAAATTGTCTGTTGCGCTTCCATCTTTACACCTTTTACTTTATAAGACTAAAACGAATGCTTGAAATATGGATTCATTATTATTCTTAATGAAAAGCACAACAACAGTAAAAAGGTACAATGACAAACTGGTTTATATAACGTTTATTAACAAAAACGAATAAGATGAGGCATGGCATACACCACATGCTGCATTATATATAAACTAATAAATGAGAGAAAATTACAAGGTTCTAAAAGCGCCTCTCTCACTCTCTTCATGTGATCAGTGAAATCTGACTCAAGCTTCACTGTGCTGCGGCTCTACAGCGCACGCTGTATGGAGCAGAGCAGAGCAGAGCAGACACTTTCAGTGTTTACAATTGTAGTGTCTGTTGTCCAAATGAACTAAATGGTTTTTATTTCTATAAAAAGCAAAATGACAGTGGGGGCGGTACCGTGGTGGGCAAGAGTGTATTTGGTGTACAGCCGAACACCGGGTAATAGTGGTAACACAGACTACCGCAGCAAGCCTATTTGTGACCACTAAAAAGGTATGTTCTATATAGTATGCATGTGTGTAGTATGAATGTAATCTGGACATACTGCAAACACCATGTTGTCATTATCATGACCTACCAGTGTCAGTTGAGTCACTTCACTGCCATTCACAAATCTTCTCCGTGGCCTCATGAGATGTCCATTGTTATATACACCTCAAGCCCTAAAATGTGGCAGTGTCTCAAAGAAAGGGCCTATAGTCACACAGAGGCACTCACTCACCTGCAAGGAAACAGACCCTCCAGAGCCCTGAATGGAGAGACATACAGATTTCAGTGCTCTGATTGAGAGGCAGGATGACCCCCTCCTCCAGGTAGAGCCAGTAGTCAGTGCTGACAGCAATACCCAGCAGCCCCAGACTACACACAGCAAACACACTGCTGAGGAGTGTCAGTGCCTTCCTGCCACACAAACTCATCTTTCAGATCAGCAGCAGAGGGGACACGCTGCAGAAAACAGGTGCTGTAATGAGAGAAGGGGAAAAAAGTTGATCTTAAACTGCAATTTAACATCCAAATGTTTTTTTTTAAATACATATTTTAAAATGAAATGAAATGAGTTATTAAGTCTTAAAGGAGCCTACAAAAGAAGTATACTGTACATTGAAACTTATAACACTAACAACAAAGGCATTGTTCTTTGCATCAAGTATGTTTCTGGAGTGTTACGTTAGGGTGAAAGGCTTCACAGAAAAAGTAGCTCAAAGTGTTATGTTAGTATCCCATTAGTTGACTTGACACAACCTGATCAGGGGTGGCTCATCTACTGACTGCTGAAATGTCACCCTCTTCTGTTGGTACATCACACCCCAATTAATGCTGCCTTTTGACTATTTGTGATCTACAGCTATGACTGTCGCTTGCTAGTAGCATTCATGCTAAATTTTGTAAAGGTTGCTTCTGTTTGCACCACAGCAATAGCACTTAAAATGTTGAATTGAAAGCTACTGTTTCAGAATAAAAAAATTAAAAAAATAATATTCACCTTGGCTATAGCTAAGTGCCTTCTCTGATATATTGCCAATTATGCAGCCCTGCACATGATATAATTTAATAATAATTAATTAATAATAATAATTTATGCATTTAGCAGACGCTTTGCAATTTACAGTGCATTGAGGCTATACATTTTTTACCAGTATGTGTGTTTTCTGGGAATCGAACCCACAACCTTTTGCGCTGCTAACACAACACTCTACCACTGAGCCACAGGAACACTATATGCTGGAAAAAAGAACCAAACATGGCTACAAATTAAGAATTAATTTCAATGACTCACTAATTTGTGGCCAGCTTTAAGTTTTTCCCTAATTTTAGTTTTAGTGAAATTGTGGCCACAAGTGATGAAGTTCTTTTAGTTTTACACCATGTCTTAAACACAGTGCTCATGCAACAGGCAAAGACTTCATCTAATGGTTGAGAGGGGGTAAAATCATTGACACTGTTAAATGCACCTGCATCTCAACCCATCATCGCTATATGTACCTGCCACTTGACCTGTCATTACAGCCCTTACTATTATTTGTTTGTTTCGCACTATTGTAATTTTGTCCTCTTTTATACACAGCTGCAAATTCTTTGGAATATTAATGTAAAATATTTCTTATGCCAGTAAAGCACCTTAAAGGTACCATAGAATGCATTGATACAATATTTTAAATTGTTCTCTGATATCTACATAGAAGGTGTGTGGCTTAGGTAAGGGCAAACAATCTCCAGAAACGGTTTTACATGCCCATTTACAACCCTAGGATTTGTGAAATGGTCTGTTTTTACCTTATTTGGAAGGGTCATGAATAATAATGTTGAGCTCTGCTCTGATTGGCTGTTTCACAGTGCCAATGTTGAGTATTAATATGCGGGGCATTGAAACTGCGTTCGAATGCACGATCGCTTTTTACTTTCACTTTGGAGATTTGCAATCGCACGTGCTGTGTAAACTACAGGGGCAGTACTTACCACACATTTTACAAGATCAGATCCTTGTCAGTGGTGCTCAGGATCCTCAGTCATCTCTCCTTACTCTGTTTATGTGGTAAGTGAAATCTTAAGTACTGTAATGTAACAGGCTACCGCTAGCAAGCAGCTAACTATGTCCCTTTAGTGGCTCGCGTTTTTTTTATTAGAACGTGCGTTATTTGTTTCCCGTGCCTTTCTGAATACAGACACCAACCCATCCCTGCACAT